ATTAGAATAATAAAATATAATAATCAATGCAAACTATTAAATCAAAGGAATGAACTAGTGTTAAAATGTAAACATAGAAGCAGGTTTAAACTTATATAAGAACATAGATCTTTCCTTATTAGCTTATTAACTCCCAAACCCCTCCCCAACATTGAATATATAATGATAATTAACTTGTACAATTTCCCTCAATTCTCCGCATTAATCCTGTCTTATAACAGTCTCCTAAGTTATGCAACCCCCTTTGAAAAAAAATTTTTTTTAAAGAATTTCATGTACAGCTTGGTTTTCCTAATAATTTAACCTATCCTTAAAGTTATAAATGGATAACTTATTCTAACTTTAAATTCTTTTATCTTTAAATCCCCCATTCCTTAATAATATAAAATCCTGAAATCTATTCTTTCTTTATATCAATTGTCTAAATACGATTTATATTTAATATTATCAATACATATTTGTTGTTAGTATAATTTAGCATTTCTTAATGGGAACCTAAATTCCTTTATATATAATTAAAGGTTTCAGTCTTTCTTTTAGTTCCAGTTCAACACCTCTCTCTTCATATAGCCCTAATTTAGGATCATAATGTTAATATCGGGGTTGATTCCAGCAAACATCTTCCCCTTTTAGAGAGATAACTCCCACCCTCCCCTTACCACCAACTCGAGCTTTTTATTTGAGACGTCATTTTGTGTTGGGTCGGCATATTTTCCTCGACTGCTATCTAAATTAAATTCTAAATCCCTGATTCTGAGACAAATTCAGTCTAGGGTTGAAGGAGACTGTTGCAAGATTGTGCTGGCTGAAATAGTCTATACCCACATGAGGCAATCTTGGATTTTTTGCTGTGTAATATATATGCTCTGTTATGATAAATATATTGAGCTCTCTTTAGAGACCAGTTTTAATATTTGATATTACTAGGATCCACCTGGATTATACAGCAACCATTATATAATATATATATATATATATATATATATATATATATATATATAAATAACAGTATATTAATTTTAACAGTATTAACAACATTTACTAGCCTGAATGTTTGAGAAATCACAAAGAAAAATTTGTGTTCTCTGACAGGAATCAAACCTGTATCCTACACAGAATCGCCATATAGCCTTACGTGCTATACCATTTTGCTACAGAGGTGTTATAGTGGAACACACCTATTCTATAGTTAATAGACTCTCCCACCTATAATAAGTAGGAGTAGTAAGAGTAAAAAGTCAAGTTGCTAGGTCGCTTCAGTAGTTCAGTCAATCAGTTGATGCCGGATGACCATTAGTTTATACTAAAGTATCAAATCCACAACTACATTTCTCTTGCGTCATTTTGATTAGATCAAGTTCCTAACATTTTGAATGTTGAACCTATTTTAGGACCGACTTAGTACAAATACAAGCCTCCACAGTGAAACCACTCCACAACAAGAGGAAGCGTCTGGTTAGCAAGGTTAATTATAGATTGTTGTTTTTGCCATACTAAACTAAGTAGAAAGACACAATATAATCAATAACTGTTTATCTCTCAACTCTTCTTTTTCCTTTATCAGTATCACTACTAGTTTTCTTTGGATCCATGACTAAGGTCTAATGAAGAAAAAAAAAAGGTACAGTACAATAAAATTGTAAAAGAAAAGTACAGCACAATATGGTGGTCGACTAAGAAATGATTCCATTTGGGTTAACTTCATTCAGCTCTGTTCAGCAATGTTGTTCGAGAAACAAAATTTTGTTTGATATCCGAGGCATTTTCATCTCAAATATTCTGTTCCAAAACCAATTTGTTTGACATGTGAGATGTTTGAGAACCGAGGTTACTCTATATAAGCAAAATATCTATTAAATAATTATCGAACTTAGTCCATTTCTTTTATAGTGGAACACACCTATTCTGTAGTTAATAGACTCTCCCACCTATAATAAGTAGGAGTAGTAGCAGTCGCTGAGTGAGTTGGTCAGTCAGTCGATGTCGGACGACTGTTAGTCGGATATTAAAGTATCAGCCACCACAACTAGATTGCTGTGTCATTAACTATTATATCAAGTTCCTAACATTTTGTATGTTGAACCTATTTTAGGACTGACTTAGTGAAATACAAGCCTCCACAGTGAAACTACTTATAACAACTTGGCAATGATGATTCAAAACTCATATGGAGGAAGAAAAAATTTGTTCGCCATATACAACAATTTCATAATATATATATATATATATATATATATATATATATATATTAGTTTTAAGGTATGCTATATTTATGTATAAAAGTACTTAATATCAGGGATAGTGTGTGTAAATATAAACTTTGTCACTATGGTGACTGTTTTGTTCCATAATTGAACATAATCTTCAGGCAATGTGTGCTGTGTAGTGGCTTGATTATACATGATGGTTAATGTAGCATTAAAGTAGCAAGATCTGATATTTCTCGTTTATAGTATTATGGTTAATATTATTATTTTATTAATTAATATGATTAATATTGATATTTTATTTTCCTAATGGTTATTGTGTAGGTGGCAACAGTTATATATAAAATTATTCTAAAAACATATTTAGTAGAAATAATTCTAAGTCAGAATATGGTTAGTTGTAGCAACTGAATAGTGTTGCTTGTTAACTTTTAACTCATTAATTATTATTGATTACTTAAGTTATTTTGTGTTTATTCATTAATTATTTGTTGTTGATTATTATTATTAAATCTAATTTAATTGTGTTTATAAGTGTATTCGTAGTTTGTTAATTTGTTTATTATTTATTTACTTAGTTTTTGTTTTGGGGGTCAGTTATCTTATTTTTAGTTTAATATATTGGCATTTGTCTAAATACATTATCTGCATTGTATATAATGTGTAGGAGGCACAGTGGGGTAGTGGATAGCAGTTCGGATTGAGGAATCAGAGAACCAAGTTCGAATTCCACTCAAATCCATTACATTCACTTATGTACTATTACCCTTGGGAAAGGTATGCATCCTTTTCTCCCCCAAGCTATGGTTAAATAGCCTTGGATGGCAACTGGTCTAGGAGAAGGACAACTCTGTATTCAAAACCTGCGAAGGGTCATTTGGAGACCTTGTGGTACGTGGTGCACTAGGGCTCTATATTCAGCCCTTCAAAAAGTGTGGTTGGTTCTGCACAAAACCTTCTACTATAATTAAATCATACATGCTGGTGTCTGGGCTGTCAGTTCCAAGGAACTGAGCTGCTTGACCTTCATATGTCAAATATGATGAGAGAGTCAACCATATAATGCATATATTTGCATTTTTCCTGGTGACATTTTACAAGGTATTCATCTTTAGTTTTTGATTTTGAAGTAATGTAGTAAAAATTCATTTAGTAATTTGTATTGATCTGGGAAGGTATTTATAGCTATTTTCTCCCACTGAAAAAGTTTACACACACAATTATATTTTATTACTTTAAACATTATTTTAGTGGATATCCATAATTGAGTAGATGCTTCATTTATTTATTAAACAGTATATTTATTTATTTTTGTCTACCAGCTGGAATATTCAAGAAAACTTATTAAAGAAAAGTATGCACTCTCTGGCAGGATTTGAACCTGTGTTCCCCTTTGCAGAAGAAACTGTCTTTAGATCTGATGTGATCTAGACAAACTCAATCATTGTCATTGATCAGGCAAAGCCAAATAGTGCCATTTTGAGTCCTTATTACTTTTTCATAGGTGAGTATAACATATTAAAATTTTATCAAAATCAATATAGTGCCCATGGGAATTTCTAAAACCATGAAACGCCATATATTGGGTCCGATGTAACCTGAAGACCTTCTGCATTCAGAGTCACATTTGGAAACCTAAAAATAGTAGACTTAATACAACATAGTATGATTTTTCACAGCATGCATGATCTTGTATTAATAAGAGATTCTATTGGACATAACAATAGAAAACCGATCCCTCAGTTTATTAAGTAATAAAAATAAATATGTGATACATTTTGAAGCAATTATCAGATTAGTTTGATGATCAACAAAAAAAAAAAAAAAAAAAAATCAAGGTATTATCAAAATCATAGAGAAAAATTACCTGCATATATTGCTGAAAATTTTTTGTCTTGATCAGGAAGGTATTTCCCCAAAAAATCTGATGAGTGGAGATTCGGTTAGATTTTAGGAAGCAGGTTAGGGCAAGAACTTTTCAGTAGCTCTTCATCGATTTAGGTTAAACTATAAAAACAGCAATCTGAAAGTACAATAAATAATATACTTATACTTCATGTACACATATCAAGATAAAAAAGTCCATTGTATTATTGTTGAGAGAAAGAAAAAAAATGTAAGCCAAAAAGTGACAGTCAGTCAGTTATGTGCCATATGTGATACATGCTTAGGTGATCATGTATCTTTCGATACATACTGATGAGGCAGATTTTTTCCTGCAGTAGGTTACCATTTCTATTTGCAGTAGACTAGTTGCCATCCAAGGCTATAAAATCTGGTCTGTCCTGTTATTTACCCATAGCTGGGGGGAGAAGAAGAGGATTCATACCTTTCCTAAGGTTATTAACATGTAAGTGAATGTAATAGATTCAAGTGGAATTCGAACTCGGCTCTCCAATTCCTTAATCCAAGCCACTATCCATTACTTCACCATGCCTCTGGAGCAGAAATATCTAAAACTCAATATGCTCATCTAGTCTGATAAGGGTATACCGGGTACATGCATCACAGCCAAATGTGTACAAGATGATGAGAGGTTTTGATAAAATCAGCATATAATCTTGCAGGTGAGATTCAGTTAGAAATACCTTCATGTCAAGTAACCCAGTCTGTTCAGATGGTGTCTGATTAAAGGTATTGCCAAGTAACTTTATGCGACTCCCAAGTCACCTTGATTACCTCATAAAAAAAAAGTTTTTTAGACACCTAGCCATTATCGGTCAACTAACAAGAAAATCAGTGGTACTGAATGACCTACTTATATTTATTATTACTACTACTACTACTAGGCTTATGACCACATCATTTTGAAACACTGGCTCATGTACAATCACTGAAGTTAAGCAACGTTGAGCCTGGTCTGTACTTACATGGGTGACTGCTTGTGAATACCAGATGATGTAAACTTGGATGTGTAGGTGGTGTAATGGATATTGATTGGATTGGAATTCTTAATTGGAGAGCTGAGATCCAACTCCTGTTGGGTGTGTTATATTCATTATATTATCCCTGAATACCTTTGAGAAAGGTATGATTTCACCCCTTCTCTCTCAACTATGGGTTAATTAATTAGTAAGAATAATTAGTAAAAATTAGTAAGACTTGTATCACTAAGCCATTATACTCCCCTCCAATATATATTCTTACAATCTAAAAATACTTTCTGGCTTTAAATAACCTACATACGGTTGATAAGCCATAGAAAATGAATCAATAAAAAAATAAATAAATAAAATACTACTACTATATATAATGGCTGGTCACTTATATCTGAGTATGCCTGTCAACTAAGACAGCTAGCCAATCTCTGTTGCTGATGCCTGATCAAACACATTTGTGTTTGTTCAACTCTCACAGAGCCCACATGTGATTCATACTGGAACTATACTGACTGAGCCTTAGTTACAGTTTCTAGGAGAGAGTGTGTATTATCTGGTGTGATCGACAGTCTCAACAAGGCCTGTGACACTCAAACCTTTGGTCACGATGATTTGTGACATCATGGTATTACTTAGTGGTACAAAGGATAGGAAGTTGTGGAGAACCATGTCCTGAAGAAGACAAAGATTGAGATGTTGGCAATAGACATTATTTTAAATTGATTTCAAAGCCGTTGAATCTGCTTGTTGAATTATAGGCATGGAAAGAAATGAAAAAAAATATCTGAATTTTCTCTTTTCCTTTTTTAATTATTTCACTTCAAGAAAGGCAAGAAAGCCACTAAGATGAAAGGGGAGTGTGAGTGAATATAAGAAAAAGACAATATTATTAAAGTGAGAGAACAAGAAAAGAACAGAAATTAAGAAGACAGTAGATAACAATTGACATTGCATTTAAATTTTTGATGATCAAAGTTGACTGGGAAGCAGGAAATCAGAAGATAGTTCCATAAGCAAGAAATGTAAGAGAAAAAAAAACATTAGCATAGAACTTATGGTTACTTCAAGCCATTTCAACTGTACAATAATGAGACCTAGCAGCTCATCAGAACAATTAGCATGAAAATATTTATAGAAAAGTCATAGGGAAGCTACCTTATGATGGTAGGAAAGTGACTGAAGCCAAGATGTCAGGTCAGGACCGATAACATTGTATTGTTCAACACTAATTTAAGTATTTTAAGTTTTGCTACTTGTCCATTGAAACAAAGCTGAAAAGTGGATAACTAGTTATTGATTATAAAGCTTTAAAATGTAAAGTATGGGAAAAACTAAAACATTCTAACAGACAGGTATCATCAAAAGATGCATTAAGCTTAAAAAATCATACAGGAAGTCTAAAAAGTTTCTGTCTGAATATCTGGAATAAAGAGTTATTTACATTCAGTCTATTGTCCTAATCTTTGTTGTTATCATCACAATATTTTGACTGTTGTGCTCTCTGGCCTTCCTCAAGTGCTTGTTAATCTGGATAACTTTCAGGAAATTTTAAACTCAACCCTTTATTTAATCAACAGAGTTAAATTGTTCTAGTTCCATACTCCATTTCTACAGACAATAGCCACTAGGCTATTGTCTCAAGACACAAGTGTATTGGTTCATAAATTTGGTAACATAGTAATTGTGAGTTCAATCCATGGGCCAGGTAGTGTAGAATGTGAAAACAGGACACTCAGAACAAAATAAGAATAAGATATCCCCTAGACATGGACAGCAAAATGCGAACAATCTGACCCGCCCTATAGATTAAATAAAGGGTTCAGTTTGAAATTACTAGGATCAACAAGCATCTGAAGAAGGCAGGAGGGCTTAATGGCTGAAACTTTGTAATAATAACAACAAAAATAAGGATAATATTCCAAATGTAAATAAGTCTAAGAAATGTTTCCCATCATTAACAAATAAAAATACTTTTGATTTATCCTAATATATTTTGAAACATTGCTCAGAACAACCATTTCACCAAAATCTCTTTTTTTTTACTCTAATTTCAGAAGTCTAATAAGCATTTATTATTGGATTAACTTTTCTTCTAGTCAGATATTTTATTCAGGGGGAATTTATAAATATTATAATTTATTATTGATACTCTGAAATAACATCCACATTCACATATACCAAGGCCATGACCTAAATCCTGTTCCAAGAAGATACAGAGGACCAAATGTTCTGTGAATACCCCTTCACCACTGCCACAACCACCACCATGGCAAAGAGCAACTGGTGAGTCATTGTACACATTTCATTTGGTAATTATCAAGTCAGAAGTCAGGCAACTGAATACAACTCTAGAGGGAATTTCAATTTATGTCAATAATGTGATGACTAAACAGGCATACATGAGTACATATTAATATATCTTGACTAACTCTCTACACTGCTTGATTTTTGCAGCATTTGGTAATTTTTAGTGTATGAAGGTTATTGAAATCTGGAGGTAGTCAATGCTAGTATACTCTCACATTTTACCTATCGTTCAATAGTTTAGTATTTGTTATATGTTTAAAAATGAATAAATTTTAATTTTGTTGGATTTAAAAAAAATGATATGCAAATCTTTACCACAGCATTTTGATTCATATACAAAACTGTGTAAAGCCTCAGTATTAAATAAGATGTAAAACCATAGAATATTGGTTTAGTTGATTTTGTTTAGCGGCATATCAATCTCTATTTTTCTGTTTTAATCATTAGTTTTATTTGCCTTTTTATGAGATTGCCACTCAATTGCTAAAGCTTTCATTCCATTAAACCACTTATCTATAATTGTTGGTAAATAAAAAGATGCTTTTCAAACACTCCTACCTGGTCTTTTGAACAAGAATAGAGATTTGTTCCTTGTTTTCTGTTTAGGAATGGATTTCTGGTTCATTCTAAAGTCTACTTCAACTCTATACTTCTAATGCCTCAGCCTGAATTCTGAATTTTTATTTACTAATTATTATTTTTTTTTCTTTCCTCAATTCTGAACATAAGTAGAAGTTTATCCCTTGTTTTGGATAGAGCTTTTTCATTATCTTTCACTCTTTTTACGTCTTAGTGGAATTATTACCTTGCTTAGGGTGAAGTGATTAAAAAAAATTTAAATTGTAATTTCCATGAATAGTATGGCTCCATGCCTACAATATAATATACCAAATATATTCGTATGGTTTTTGTAATGTCTATAACGTTTTGCTCTAGTAGTTATCTCCCTTGTACTAGAGAATTGCTCTCTGATATTTCTGAAGCTAAAGAAGTGAAGTGTCTGGAGGAGCATAAAACAGCAATAAGGACTTGGAAAAACATATTTAAAACTCACATGTGAAAACTTTCTAATAATATCATGGATTTAAGAAAAGATGCAGTCATTTTTTATACCATGGCTAAACCAGAGTTAATAGAAGATTCTATTGAACATAAAGTGGAGGATTGATTTTCTCTTGTTATCAAATAAAAAAGTGATCCCCCTCCCAAAATGGAATTGCTACATAACAGTAATTAGATTATATTTAAAGACTCACAAATTTTAGTTTTATTTGGCATAATATTAAAACTATAATATGGAAACACCCAATCAGAACCAAACTAACTATAGTCACAATGGGTAGCAAGACTATTCTTAGGTGTCTAATATGGAAGAGCAATCTTTAAAGAATTTTTCTAAATATGCAATAGAGTATCTTAATAAAAGTGGGGCTAGAAAATGTTTTAAAAGGGTGATCTTGAGCAGGATTGGAAAATTACCTCCTCCCAAAAAAATAAAAAAGATAAAATAAATAAACATCAATTTTTAGTAGATATATAGTAGTAGCCTTGTGAACCATTACAAGTATATTCTAATGGACATTTCAATATTATGCTGGATATAATTAGGATTTGCAAAAAAAAAAAACAACAAAAAAAAAACTGATTGTTTCACTTGTAATATTTTGAAAATTTCAAAATAGTAATTTCTAAATAAGTTGTTTCTAGATAAAGAATTAAAAAATTTTGACCTCCATTTACAATGCTGATATCAACGATATTTGTAGAAACTACTTTATGAATTAGTCTTCAGCAAATGAGACTAATTCACGAGTTACATCATAACTATAAAAATAAATTGGCACAAAACTAATTAATTTCTTCCTGATGTTTATGCTGTTTGTTAAACTAATCTGACAATGAATGATAAACTTTTAATGATGCCTATGTAGACAGTAATTAGTTTTTTATGAAGGGATTGGCCAACATAAGTAACCAGAAAGATATAACAACACCCATTTTAGGAAGATGAAAAATGTAATTACATCTGACATATTGTCCTTCATGTGGAGAGTCATCATTTTTCCTATCCTTGGAGGTACGGTGGAGTAATGGATAGCGGCTCAGATTGAGGAATCAGAGAGCCATGTTCAAATTCAAGTTGAGTTTGTTACATTCACTTATGTGCAAATACCCTTAAGAAAGGTATGAATCCACTTCTTCTCCCCACAGCTATGGATAAATAGCAGGACAGACTGGGTCCTATAGCACTGAGTAACAACTGGTCTGGGTGACAGACAACTCTGAATTTGAAACCTCCAACTATGGTGCCTACGAACACAATTAGCCAAGTATGGTGAGTACAGCTATACTTCTGAAGACATGGTCAATCAGAGAGAGATTCCTTCAACAGGATTGAGAAGGTGCTGGATTTGGATCCAGTGCACTTTTGGTAGCCCTGGGGAATTCAGAACATAGGGGATCATAGCTCACCACATCTTCCAGTTTTTTTGATGCTCTAAGTAACTTCTGACCCTTTACCATCCCTCTTTATTTTTATTCTACCAGCCATTCATACAGACTCATTAGATCGGTCACTCATTTTTCCTCCTGCTTTTCTTGCCTTCAGCACATCTTGTGAGTGTTAAATTCTCCAACCACCCCTTCCACATTATGTATTCCAGAAATTTCAGCTCACATTTCCTGACTGTTAGTATCAGTTCCCTTGTAGTTATTTTC